CCCACCCCCCCCCCGGCCCACCTGCAATTACCCCCCCCCCCCCCCCCCCCAAATAACCCCTCCATACCTCTGTACAGGTTAGGGTCATTGAGAAGCATTTGGTCATTCTTCTCCTTCAGTTCAATCATGTACATGACAGCCCTCTCCAGTGTCATGTTCATGGACTGAAAATAATGACTCAGTATGAATTGATCATCAAAACAGTATTTATAGTTGCAGTTCATCACAACATCTGTAGAAATCTATCATTTTTTTTCATCCTTTATTTTCTCCATGATTTGTGTCATTTAAACATAGCTAATGTCAATGAATAAAAAAATAAAAAGAAGTTCATTAAGTGAACTAAGCCTCAGAAGACAAGAGGAAATCTCAAAGGTACCCAAGGTACCTGCATGCTCTTAATGTGAATTCAATATTTTCCATACATTTGTGAGACCCTAGTATTCTAAAATTGAATTTATGGAGTATTCAATCACATTTTTATGCAACCATGTTGACAACATAATCAGAAAACATATCCATAATTCACTCCATACATACCTTGTTTTTCACAGATGCGTAACCAGGCAACATATCAGCTATCTGTGCTATCAGTGTCCTTGTCTTCTCTTTCCTCTTTTTTTCATTGCCCCTGTGCGCCTCCCGATTACGCCCTTTGGAGATGGGTACAGAGGCCCTGTGACATGAATTGAAATACAAAACGATATGCATTGCAAATAAACTGAAAAGGCTCAGGCAGATTGCAGTTTGTAATGAATACTACATAAGACTGATTTATTTCCCCCCCCCCCCCATAATAAAGCCTTTAGTATACTACTTCCTAGAAAATTGAAATGCCTGAAAATATTAATTTTAGTTAATGTCAGATAGCACATTGCTGTGAGTAACAAGAAAAAATCATTAAATAACGGACGTGAAGTTTCCAAAATAACAGTGAATTTCTATTTTGAGGCTTACCCTCTCAGGCACATATTTTTTTCAAATCAATTACAATCTATATGATCATTAGCCTTTATGTAATAGATACAAAATGAGTCTGCAAAGTTTTGATCTAATATCCACTCTGTACAAGTGGATGTCACAAACATATTGCTGACAAAAAATCATTTGTTTAAAAGAGCTCAGTAAATGGGCTTTCACCAACTCCCCTCCTGAGGAAACAATTGTGCAAACAATCTTCTCCTCCCACTCACTCACACACACACACACATGATTGCACACGCGCACACACACAGACACAATTGCACACACACATGCTCACATACATACACACGTTCTCATACACTCACATGTCTGCTGAGTCTGCCCCCTCCATGATGTCCAATAGGTTGACCGTCTCAGTGTGTACCAGACCATTCATTTTGGTGTCTGCACAGGTAAAATGTCAAACCTGGAAAACAAAATTTGAAATAAACTTCAATCACGAAACTACCAATTTAACTTACTAAAATGAAAAAACTATACTAGTTCATATATAGAGAGAATACATATGTAAAATTCAGTAACATATTTTCTATTGATTTACAACACTCCCACGTTTTTTCTAAACAAGTTTTCCATCTTTTAAGTCAAAAATAGTGCAAATATTGCATTCAACCAAAACTGACATGAAAATGTATGTTCCCCAACTCCAATACTTTGTAAGCATATCTAAAAGAGATTATCAACAGTTGTGAAAAGCAAGCTGGACTGATGCCAAAACAGTATGTTTTTGTAACTGCACACTATGAATCTAAAAAAAGTGAAATGTCTACTGGAATAAAAAAAAAGAGATTTGAAATTAATTTGCATGTAACCACTAGGTCAAATCCAAGGCATTTTGGCATTCTGCCAACACTTTTGAACTCTTCCTGGTCGGTAACCTTTCATTTCATGGTAACAAATCTGAACACAGCAGAGCAAATGATTTAGAATTGCATGGAAACCCAAGCTACACCAAATAACAAGCTTTTCAGACTATCCATGTCCATCAACACAACTCAAGACAACTCAGTTCGCTTTTAACATGTTAAAACATGCCTTATTTGAGTTCTGTTAGCATGTATGGTTCTTACATTTTTATCGTCAATCCCCCCAACCCCTGCCCAAAAGAAAAAAAAAGGAAATTCATCCCTGTGTTTTCTCATTATCTTTAAAGATAACTCAACACTAAGTTGAGCATTAGTTTTGAATGAACTGGCAATGGTTTCTTGTTCTCTTAAAATGACCCATTTTCAGTGCACCTGTATGTAGCACTGAATGCACCTTAGATCCAGCAAATTAAAAATAAACTAGAAAGCTTGACCCATCAATACCGTATGAAACATGGCTGTGTGTGGTTGATATATAAATCTAAATGTATCAGCCTTAACTTCAGAAAATAAAATCTCTGTCTCTCTATCTCACAAATACAACAATTGAAGAAACTGTTAGAAAGAAGTTACTGAGTACTTGCTTTCCTTTAACCACTATTACAATACAATACAATAAATACAATACAATACAATGCAATGCAATACAATACAATACACCTGGGACCTTCACAGAAATGGTTCTGACACTCTTTGTGATCATATTGGGAACCTGATAATGGCAACTTTCCTTCCCTGTTTCACTGTTAGCAGTATATAACAAAATTGATAATCATTAGGAGTAACTATTCTGCAAATTAACTATATAATTTTGATGAATTGACTCGTATCACCACAGAACTAAATGACCTCCCAAATGCAACCCATAAAAGCAGTTGCCAAGGTTTGCAATCAAATTGCCTTCTTCCAGGAAAAAATGTATTTAATTTTTCCTTCTTTTCCTTTAAGTGGCACTCAACAAAGTGTGTTAAATACCCATCATTTTCTAAAAACTAAAAGTCAATATATAATGACTTTCACAGGAGCCTGTATTAGAGAGTTTCCGGTGCAGTTGGGATACGACGGCTAGATTGTTACGTATGTGCTAATGTATCCAGTAACGCGCTTCTCTCTTCGCGTTCCGGTAATGTCCCGGAATGCTGGCGCTCATTCCAATATAATAATAACAATATACGGCCCCGTAGCCATCTATTTCCAAGGGGGGATTCTTTTTTATGAAAAAGGAGACAAATATTACCCAAAAGTGCAATTTTTCCCGACAAAAATGGCGGTTCGTAAGAACCCCACCAGGGGGTGGAAACGCGCTACTTATATGATTATGACGAGCCTAACCGTAAGCACCGGATATTAGTTTGTGACCTTGAGGGGCAAATAGGCTTCGTCTTTGCGGCACGCGCGAACAGTAGTCGATCTACCACACCTTTTGTTTTTGACAACTGTTCACTCGTCAACGAGGTGCTTGTTCTAGCCTACAGACTGATATCTACTAGTACTACCAGTGGCTTCATTAGTAACGTTCCCACAATACATGGTTTTCTGTCTGTGCGTACATACCCTGAATTCAGTTAGCCTCACTGACGAGAACAATGGACGTTTCTTACCCCTCTCTAGGATTACCCCTGACCCCACGATCAACCCCTGACTACATGCCTGATAAACCAAAACTAGCGGCTCCTCTCTGTTAAAAAGTCGAAATTTGCATGAACGTACACTTGAACTATTGTAAAAAAGTATATAAGTCATATAAATTAGCAAACATAACCTTTAATAACTATTTTCAATAATCTTCCGCACTGGCTAGATAGGAGCGCTTGTATTCCGCAGACTAGATAGGATGACGGTATATGAATGTGGTGAACGTCACAAGTGCGCACAAACCAATGACGTATTAATCTAGCCGGCGTATCTCACCGGCAACGGAAACTCTCTATTATTTCACATGGACAGAAATTCCAGATGCTACTGTCCTATGTTAGCAATTGCAGGTCCAATGTGGCAAAAATCCTAAAAACTTCTGTGTGAAGAGGTACTGTATTTATATATTTACCTTAAAATTACAAAGAGCAAAGGACTCAGGTAATCAATGAGGTCATTTACTTGCCTCTAGTATTCAAATCATGAAAAAAATCACTTTAAGTCTTTCTTTATTTTCAACTCATTTATTACTGTAACATCAAAGTGAATCGATATATATAGCAAGAATTTATAATTTAATTTAACATTTTGTTTGATAGCAATCAAACACCACTGAAGAGTGAAACAAAAAGACTCCGAAAAATGTAATTTTTGTTTATTAAAATGCCAAAAATAAGTAGAAAAAGAAGACAGGACAAAGATAAAATTTTCTGTAAATATTGAAAATGTTGCGAAAATGTATGAGGGGACAAAATATTTGTTCTGAAACCTATTTCAATTTCCTTCAGCGCTTCAATACAGTCAACACCAGATAGCATTACCTGTAGTGTACTCATTGAAAGAATATGTCCGAAGCTCTCTCAAAATATTTTAATATCTAAAATATATAAACCTTGTCTTGTTTATAAATAAATATCATTGTTGCATACGTAGATTAAACATGGAGAGAATTCTCACATACACAATCATAAATGGTAGGCTTTGTCAATAGTACATGTGTGTGTGTGTGTGTGTGTGTGTGAGTGCATGCTTACAAGCATTCACATGTGAATGTAAAAAATACATGCACATACCAAGGAAACAGCAAAACAGTTGCTATAAATAAATACACATACTTGTAATTACCACAGGTGGGGGAAATAGAAGACAGAGATAGTTTTCATCAATGTTGGGATACTAGTTAATGAGTCCTTCCCCCCTCTCAAGTTCCTGTTATTGCAAAACATATTCCAAGAAAGAGCTTTCTCTGAATAACACAATTATCACTTTACTGTTTTTTTTTTCCTTTTGAAAATTTCACTCCTTTACATGAAGACATTTAACCAAAGTATCAACCAAATCTACCCACTGTAGGGAACATTCATAATTTAATTGTAAAGACAAATCTTACTCAACTTTTAAGGAAGTTATATTTTGAAGTATTTTATTATTACTGGTATCTGATAACACCCTCACTAGCAATAATTAAAATTTTCAACAGCTAAAGACATTCAAGTCTCAAGCTGTAAATAAACTAACATATGCCCTTAGTCTAATTCCATGTTACAAACTAGGATTTTACCCTGTGATGTGACATGTGTGTGTGTGTGTGTGTGTGTGTGTGTGTGCATGCTTGCGTGTGTGAGTGTGAATGAGGGGGGGGGGACATCTCTAAAATTATGCACCTACAGAATTATTTATGAATAAACATACAAGTACTAGTGCAAACATGACCATCCACACTGAAGAGAAGGATTCACCTATCAAAAAACCTAGCTGAAATATTGGCTGGCAATAATTGGGTACTCGTATCCTCATATGTTTGTATACTGCATTTGTTGCTAGAGTCAGTCCATGTGTGAAAAAAATGAGCAGAACATCCAACTTGGCAATTTGATCTCTATTTTCTGTTGGAACAATCAACTCTCCCCCTCCCTCCATCCCCCCTGGTACCCCTTCCCTTAATAATGGACCAAGAGTCACTTTCCTTCCACCCCACCCACCCCTACCCCCCAAGTACCCCCTTGTCCAGTGTACCAAGTGCTTGCTTTCAAGCCCTTCTCTACTAACTGGTGTCCATACACTGTAAAAAGTAAATCAAATAAAATCAAATCACAATGATACTAATGTGCATTATAAGTTTTCCACAGACAGAATTCCAAGGTTAACTGCAAATATTTTAATATGATGATGGAAATGTCCCTTTTCTACAACAGTGACAGTTTTGGAGAGCATTAGCTTTCAAGTACATCATCTGTGTGGCTTGCACATGTATCCATATGATGTAAAACTCCCTAAGATGACATCATTGTTACCTACCGTTAAGTATCTCAATGTCACATCAAGATATCTGACCATTATCCAGAATGGTGAGGCATAAAAATGCTTGTTTGGAAAACACCCAGAAACTTACTAAGTACTGTAATAAGATTACTTCTGTTTTATTTATAGTAAGTTAGTCACTTTAAGATAAAGCAGGTCTTTAGAAAGGGGGGGGGGGTCATAAGAACTGCCCTTTTGACTGAAAAATGTCTGCTCTGCATCAAAATTTTATCTCAGCTCTAGCATTTTCAAGATTGGTCAAGTAAGAGGGTAAAAAGCTCCAATTTTCAGAAAAAAAAACAGTGCCCTTTGAAATTGCTGACAGCAAAACTGCAGGGCCTCTGTTTTCTAGATAACTTTACAGTGAATACCCATCCTCTTTTAGATCTATGCCCGTAACTGACAAATGGCTAAATGTTGCACCAGAGGCAATTCATTTTACCTCGAATGAAACAATCAATCAGGGAGAATTGAGGAGACTGGGTCTAAAATAGAACAGAATAAAACAAAATACTTCCATCGACAGATTATTGAAAATAACACTTTGCGTGTGTCTGCCTTGTTTCATGAATCATGGTGAGCAAATGTGAGCATGGTGCCGTTTATAGTTGATACTGATAAAGTGACAGGACACATGTTTTGATAAATCACAGAAAAGAGTGAAATCGACAAGGGGGTTACCCCCAGACTCTTTAAATCTAGCTTCTTCCCAGTATCTCACCTTAAAACAGGTATTTTCCTATCTCACTAAACGTACTTGGATCCTGTGGTACATCTCCGCTTCTCGTATCTCTTAGAATTTTCTTTTAATTGGGACAAAGAGAATCGCAATAAAGTTTGAAAGCTACATCCGCCATTTTGATTTCACGTTGTCTCATGAATATTTATTTGGCCTCGTTTTGAAACGGGGAAACCCGGGAATCCTCGCGTGAGATCGTCAAAAATACATCATTTGTATGTCAGTGCAATCGGAGCTGAGAGGAGAACCAAAAATGTGTCTTTCAGGTTCAAGCAGTTTGACACACCACATGTCGTGCAGCACAGCCATAAATATCAAGATGGAAGAAGAGTTATTGNCCCCTTCCCTTAATAATGGACCAAGAGTCACTTTCCTTCCACCCCACCCACCCCTACCCCCCAAGTACCCCCTTGTCCAGTGTACCAAGTGCTTGCTTTCAAGCCCTTCTCTACTAACTGGTGTCCATACACTGTAAAAAGTCNTAGATCAAATAAAATCAAATCACAATGATACTAATGTGCATTATAAGTTTTCCACAGACAGAATTCCAAGGTTAACTGCAAATATTTTAATATGATGATGGAAATGTCCCTTTTCTACAACAGTGACAGTTTTGGAGAGCATTAGCTTTCAAGTACATCATCTGTGTGGCTTGCACATGTATCCATATGATGTAAAACTCCCTAAGATGACATCATTGTTACCTACCAATGTCACATTAAGATATCTGACCATTATCCAGAATGGTGAGGCATAAAAATGCTTGTTTGGAAAACACCCAGAAACTTACTAAGTACTGTAATAAGATTACTTCTGTTTTATTTATAGTAAGTTAGTCACTTTAAGATAAAGCAGGTCTTTAGAAAGGGGGGGGGGGTCATAAGAACTGCCCTTTTGACTGAAAAATGTCTGCTCTGCATCAAAATTTTATCTCAGCTCTAGCATTTTCAAGATTGGTCAAGTAAGAGGGTAAAAAGCTCCAATTTTCAGAAAAAAAACAGTGCCCTTTGAAATTGCTGACAGCAAAACTGCAGGGCCTCTGTTTTCTAGATAACTTTACAGTGAATACCCATCCTCTTTTAGATCTATGCCCGTAACTGACAAATGGCTAAAAGTTGCACCAGAGACAATTCATTTTACCTCGAATGAAACAATCAATCAGGGAGAATTGAGGAGACTGGGTCTAAAATAGAACAGAATAAAACAAAATACTTCCATCGACAGATTATTGAAAATAACACTTTGCGTGTGTCTGCCTTGTTTCATGAATCATGGTGAGCAAAAGTGAGCATGGTGCCGTTTATAGTTGATACTGATAAAGTGACAGGACACATGTTTTGATAAATCACAGAAAAGAGTGAAATCGACAAGGGGGTTACCCCCAGACTCTTTAAATCTAGCTTCTTCCCAGTATCTCACCTTAAAACAGGTATTTTCCTATCTCACTAAACGTACTTGGATCCTGTGGTACATCTCCGCTTCTCGTATCTCTTAGAATTTTCTTTTAATTGGGACAAAGAGAATCGCAATAAAGTTTGAAAGCTACATCCGCCATTTTGATTTCACGTTGTCTCATGAATATTTATTTGGCCTCGTTTTGAAACGGGGAAACCCGGGAATCCTCGCGTGAGATCGTCAAAAATACATCATTTGGATGTCAGTGCAATCGGAGCTGAGAGGAGAACCAAAAATGTGTCTTTCAGGTTCAAGCAGTTTGACACACCACATGTCGTGCAGCACAGCCATAAATATCAATATGGAAGAAGAGTTATTGTAACCGAATGCAACAGCGTTTATACATGATGGCTGTACATTGATTATGCAGACTTGTAATAACTGCATATGTCAAAGCGCCGCCAGAAAATCGAAAAAGGTTTTTTTCTTTTCTTTTATCTACCTTCCAGTGTTGATGTACTTGGTATCAGGTTTGTGAAAAGGTTATGGCGTGAGATTTACAAAGCCTATGAGACATAGCTGTGTTGAACTTGTATTATGTATTCTATTTCTTTTTGTTAAAGTCTTCGGCGATGCATGGTCACTGGGTCTACGGCCTATATAATTATCATTTTCAAATACAAGACCAGTTTTCGGTGAGTTTTTGACCCACTGAAAGCTAAAGGCTAGAATTTGTGCTAATTTGAATCGTGTTTTGCTATTGTTAGAAATTCCATGACTCTACTGATACCCCCCCACCCCTTTTTTTTTTTGGGGGGGGGGTTAAAGCACAATTTAACTTTTCATTGGCGAGTGTGGTTTGGAGATAGAAACAGACGAAAACAAAATAAACATGTTCATGTATTTGAACAGGGGTGGATCCAGGATTAGTTGAAGGGGGGGGGGGGGTCAACGACAGGCCTCGGATGCATCGCCTCTGGGGTTCAGGGCCTGCTCAACTTTTTTTTTTTTTTTTGGAGGGCAAACGGTGCCCTTTTGTACGGTTTAGAACTAGTCAAAATTCTAATTTCAAGAAGGGAATATTGGTGTGATATTTTTTTAGAAACCGAAGGGGGGGGGCAGGACCCCC